ACTATTTTTCCAGCTTCTTTTCGTTGAAGTATGTTATATAGATAAATTTAAAAGGAATTGAGAAGAAGACTTTAGTGAAGTTTCTTTGGAATCGGTACATTCGTTTAGGCGCTACAGTCTCTAGCAAGTTTTTCAGTCACCATCTTGAAAGGAAAAGGAGAATAGAAATGAAGGGGGATCATCCACGGATGACCAATAATTTAAAATACAAATTTAAAAAAATCGGTCAAGTAGTTTCGGAGTAAATACGCGAACGGCGGACAGAAAAAAAGTTTTTATAGGTTTTTCGAATTCTACGTATCCTGATCCTCAAACGTAAAACCTCAAACTTTGAGGGGATTAAGTTTTTTAATTTTTTGTTCGATCACAATGGTTCATTATTGAAAATAATAAACAAAAAAATAGTTTCCAACATTTTCAATGAATTATAAATAAAAAGCTAGTTTCTACCACATTAATAATGCAACTTGTTATAAATCATTAAATATATTTTAGACGTTTTTCCTTAATTCTCAAAATATTTTTTAATTTATTCTAATTTCTTGATATGAGTCTAATAAGTTATTTCTTAATAAATTTGAAAATTTCGTATTTTCATAGGACCTGTCACATAGGAAAATCTGAGGAGAGAGGGGAGGAGGAGCGATTTGAGATGTATAACTAAACATATTTCAACCAAATTGGAAAGTTTGAGATTTCGTGGTCCCCCACGAAATAAATTTCAACCCGCTTAAGCCGGATTCGAACCGGTGACACTATACCTGAGTGTTAAAACAGCCAACATCTCAACACGCTCTGCCATCCAGGTCTGTCTTAAAATATGAGTACAACCATGAGTATTACCAAGGACCACGGCTGATATAAACGAATAATTATCTGCCATTCAGAACTCGGACCCGGGTACCAGAGCTAGTAATTAAGTGCCTTACCCAAAGAATCCGTGTTTCTTTTTATTTTAATTTCTTTTTTAAGCTATAAATTATGGATTTCGGACCAATGATGATTTAATCACATGCTCGTTTTCTCTCGAGGCCAATTAATTTTCAGAAACTTGGACAATAAGAATATTTAAGCCGAGATCAGAGCCTCTTTAAATTGCCGTGTTTCCGGTCCAGATATAGTCGGCGGAAGTACCCAGAGAACCGGTTGTACCTACAACAATTCCGTGCTTCAACCGGCCCTCTGCCACACTGATCTGGATTTTGACGAGTCTTTATTGAGCGGGTCTCGTATATAACTGATGGATGCTTAAGAACAAAAATATTAATAACTAAGTCCAATTTTGAGAACGCTGGTTCCAAAAAAAAAAAAAATTTATTTTCACATCCACAGACAACACAATTTTTCAATTGGGCTTGATTGCCTCATTTCTGACTAAGTCTTCATTTCGATGATATCAATTGCTTCCAATAACAGTGTCGAAAAATTAGTAAAACGCGTGCTAAAGATACTTACGAAATTACACAATCAGATAAGTCTTTATAGGAGGAAGAGAAAAGTGACCCCCTCCCACTCCTTCCATAATTTATAGATATAATTATTTGGAAAATTTGAGACCTAATTAAACTACGATAATTGTGATAACTATTTTTAAAAAATCATTATTTTTTCTTATTTGAAGTAATTAATCACCTCTAGTGAATAATAATAATAATAACAAATGGATAAATAGTGGTATAAATATTTAAAATTTTATATTTTCTGAAGGATAATATATAGTGTTGCCCAAATGCGAGAACAATGCGAGTCTTGGTGTTGCAAACTCAGTCTTGGTTTTGGTCCTGGTCTTACGCGATGGTCTTGCAAAAGTCTTTCAGTTACCTATTAGATTATTAAACCTAACTAAGCCAGAATGGAAAACTGGAAGAGTTAAATGCAAAAGTATGTTGGTTTCTTTACATATAGTGACTAAAATTGTTGAGTATTAGTAAATATTTTACCTTAATTTTTATTTTAAAAATCGATTTTTTTTACCAGTGTTGGTCTTGGTCTTGCAACAGTTAGTCGGTCTTAATCTTGGTTTTGCGAAGTGCAAGACCAAGACCGATTTTGGCCAACACTAATAATATATAACAAAAGAATATATCGTTGGAAAACTGACGTTTAAAAAAAAAAAAAAAAAAAATATATATATATATATATATATATATAATGTATCAAGATTCAGAAGTATATGGAGAGAAACAATGATATAAGTATGTTAATAATAAATAAAGAAACGTTATTTATTGCATTCACTGTTATTTAAACATAGATAATCGAAAGTATTTTATTGAGATAATTTTTCTATTTTGGATGGAAAGGACAGAAATTCTTCAGAACATTTGAATTTTTGCAATATTAATATGAATAACCTGTTAATAAAAAAAAAAAAATCACATTTATCACTAGTCGGTACGCGTTGAGTAATTCGATCAAGTTATCTCACACCTATCTCAAATTGCGCTTAGTCCGTTATTTTTCGAATCCATAACGATTTGTCTCAGTTGCAACTTTCAACTGTTTCTTTAAAATATTTTTTTCCCTTCATTCTTCAATTATAATTGTGTCTAAATTATTTATACCATAAAGCCTACATGAATTTTTAATTTTAGTTTTGATTTTTTATTTCTTATTTGTACTACATATTATTTAGTAGATTTCTTTTAAAATTTGTGTGCATTGTTAACTGAAAAAGAGAAAAATTCAACAAGCTAGAAAACAACAAAACAAAAAAGAAATAATATATTCTAATGACAATGGCATTGACGATATTGGAGAATTTATGTAAAAAAAGAAAAATATATTTATTTCTATTATCACGTCTATGATAGATTGTTGTGCCAACGAAAGCGTTGGCTTTATATATCTAAGAAATGCAGAATTCATTCTGTATCATTCCATTATATCCTTCTGTACTCCTTTAATTCGACAGCTTAATTTGATAAATTCTTCATTAGTTCTAAATGTTTTCATAATGTCTATTTATTTTCAATTATTCAGCGAATGCCTCGATAGAAGGCAAAATACCGCGTAGAAGCCAGGAAAGCTGATCGATAGATAAAATCAAAAAAGATGCTATAGAGAGAGCTGCATTTAGATAATTGGAAGGGAATAGCTCAAGACAGGCAGAGATGGAGCAGGCTTGTTTAAACGGAAAAAGAAATACAATGTCTGTAATGTCAACAGAAAAAAAAAAAAAAATATATATATATATATATATATATATATATATATATATATATATATATATATATATATATGCATATGTATATGTGTGTGTGAGAGAGAAAGAGAGAGAGAGAGAGAGAGAGAGAGAGAGAGAGAGAGAAAAAAAAAACAATGTGAAAAAACTGATGTGAAAAAAAAAACATTTAAACGGTTTTAAGTAACTTACGAATTATATTTGTAATAGTAATGAACCAGTGTAACATTATGCTGCAATCTTTTTTTAGAGCAATGATCTAAACACAAAAAAAAATATCTCTTTTACGGATTAGATTAAAAGTGAAATCATCTACCCGGTTTACGCCTAAGAGATAAAACTGATAGCTTTCCTTAAATTTCTATTTTAATCGATGTATTTTATTGCAAAACCTTTAAAATATTAATTGTTTGCATTTCTCTTATGGGCTATTATTTTTGAAAAGTCAGAAATTTTTTATGAACATAAGAATAATGTGTAAGGTGATTGTTATATACGAAAAATGAGTCGATTGTAAAGATTTGCATAATAAATAATTTCCAACCATAAAATATTTCATTCCTTCGCTCTGAACCAAACAACATTATGAAAATTTAAATTAGACACAATGGATAGTTATATACTTTTATTATTTTCAGGCCTCATAAGGTATTTTTACAAGATTCTGGAATTCTTTAGAATTTTAAAGATATTTCAAAACGTTAAAGACCATATTAAAGGGAATCCCAGAGTTTTGTGCCAATATCTCACTAGGTAGAAATTTCAGTTTTAGCAGAGATTTAAATGCTAAAGGCTCCCTACTTCAAATTTATTAAGGCGCAAATTGTCCTAAGACATCTCAGACCGGTAAGCCTCGTAAGTAGTGTTGCCCAAAATCGCTCTTTGGGCCGCCTAACTGTTGCAAGACAACACTATTCGTAAGATTTAAAAAAAAAAAAAAAACACATTTTTTAAAACCGAAATTGACCTGAAAGGTGTTAATTGTTAATTGTTCGCTCCAATGTTTACTCATATTTAGTGTTGCCCAAATGCGAGACCGAGACGAGCCTTGGTCTTGCAAACTCAATCTTGTTCATGGGCTTGGTCTTGCGGAAGAGTCTCACAACAGTCTTGCAGTTACTTATTAGCCTATTACTATAGAGATATTACTGTATTTTTTTAGATAGGAGAAACCTATCTATATGAAAAATTAGAGGAGTTAAATGCAAAAGTATATTGGTTATACCAATTATTAACATATAGTAACTAAGATAGTCAAGTATTAGTAACTATTTCCCCTTGACTTTTATTTAAAAAATCGAATTTTTTTTTACCAGCCCTAACCTTGGTCTTGCAACACTTGGACGACCTTGGACTTGGTCTTACAAAGTGTAAGACCGAGATCGATTTTGGACAACTCTACTCATATTGTTTATTCGTTTCTTTTGTTTTGACAAATTCTTGTTTTTATGATTACATCGATCTATAAACATACGTTATATGCCATTTTCCACACTAATATTCACTATGTATATTTTGACTTTTGTCCGGCCTAAGAAAGTCCACTATGTAGCGATACGACAGTTATAGAACTTAATTTGTAAATCGTTTTGACTTCGATAGGCCAACTAAATTTGAAGCCACTTAGTAGGTTTTCTCAGTTAAATTAAATATATATATATATATATATATATATATTTTTTTTTTTAAATACGAGGATAAAGTTTCTTTTTAAATATTTTATAATATATACCTTAAAGTGATATTATATATTACTAAAGCAAAGTTAGTCGCTAGATAAACATACAAGAGCAGTAGGGGGAGCAGCTGGGGGAGAATGGGTGGGGTAGCGTGGAAGAGCCCACAGTTGCCAGTAGTCATGTTGTCGTGGTTGGTGCTGTGCGTACTCTTGCCGGCTTCTTCGGCGGATCTCGAGCTGTCGTCCCAGGTCTCCGGGGATGTCGTCCACTTCACGTTGGCCGCCAGGACCAGGGGCTACATCGCTGTTGGTTTCTCACTCAACGGGAAGCTCTCCGGTTCAGATATAGTTGTCGGATGGGTAGACGATTCCTCGGGAGAAGGAAATGTTCTGGTAAGTCAAGTTTATCATTTTGAATTGGATATATTACGAAAAGAAATCGGATTTTTTAGTGGGCAAACAGAAAAAAAAAAGTTACGAAAAATATGGAATTAATCAGCTAAAATATATTTGTAACCTGTATATTTGTCATGTTACAAAATTTATTACAATAAAATAAATATTACTCTGTCTAAAAAATAGAAAACCATGAATTCATTATAGTCAAGCTTAGAATCATTCAAATTCAAAACATACCGTCGGCTTATTGCAAAAAATCACTAAATTGATTTTTAAAGAAGGTAAACTTTTAAATAGTTTTTTTGTTGTGAATTTTGGCCTTATATATGTTAATTAACGATATTTTGCAATAAACCCACAATATTCAGATATTAAAATTTATTCCCTCCCTGTGTACTAACAAAGTTATTTTAAAACTCTTGAGCATTTCAAACTATTTAGAGAAATTCAAAACACTCCACCTTAAACAATATTTTAAGTTCTTCTTCTCTATTGTATAAGTATACAGGGTATCTGAGTTATTAATGCCCAAACTCTGAAGGGTGATTCTTGAAGAAATTTCCAACAAGAAAGTTTATTTGATGCATGAGCCGATTTTGAACGGAAAAGGACTTAAGACCACGAATTTTGCTTTTTTCTGATGGTGGTGAAGTTTTTTATTTAATAAGAAGGAACTGCTAAAAAATAGTTCACGATAATTAAATTCTAAGTACACCATCGTAAATAAGACAAAACTTTTTTGAGAAAACAGTGATTAAATTTACTTAGGCCAATGATAAAAGGAACTTTCAGGTCTAATACGGCCGCTGTGCAGAGATATCCTGCTCGTATATGGATACTGTAACTGCAGTAGTACTGAGGCCGTATTAGATCTCCTAAAAGTCCCATTTATCATTGACCTTACTAAATTTAAATTCTATTTAATCATTGTTCTTACTAAATTTAATCACTGTTCTAAAAAAAAAATTGCCTACTTTACAATGGTGTACTTATAGTCCGCGGTATAGACACAGAGTTTTTATCGAATTATTAAGATCCGCCTGAAAATGTAAATAGTTTCATCTCATCGTAACCTAAAACTATTTTATTTACGAAAACTCTTGGAATTGGGGCGTTTTCAACTTGGAGGGGAGCCAAACTTTGTCTATTTAATTAGGTACTAAAAAATCGTTAATACCCATTTGCTTTCTAATTGGATCATAAGATAATTTGATCACAAAATCGATAAAAAAGGTGGCCAACAAAAATATTGGGCCGTTTGTTCTATATAACCTCGTTATTTGGACAATTTGGGGGTGTACGTCACGCCAAACGGCTCAATATTTTTAAACGCCATCTTTTTTCTCGATTTTGTGATCAAATTATCTTACGATTTATGTAGAAGGCAAATGAATATTTACGTGTTTTTAGTACCAAATTAAATACAAAAACTTTACCCTCTTCCAGATTGAAAACTCCCCAATTCCGAGAATTTTCTTAAATAAAATATTTGTAGGTTACGATGAGATAAAGTTATTTATGAAGTTTCAGGCGGATGTTAATAATTTGATAAAAAGGGGTCTGTATCACGGACTATTAGAATTTGATTAGACGTATAGTCGTTCGTCTTTTATTAGATCAACTCCAATATGCTTAGAAGTTTGTCTTTGCACTTTTGATTGGAAGTTTGGCTGAGTGAAATTATAAAGCCTAAACCTTTCTAGCATGAACAAATTTTTGAAGACAGACTGATTGTTTCAGAAATTGCGCCTTCAAACAAACAATTTAGCTATTTATATTGTGATATTTAAATTTTCTTCATTTTATTAAAAATACTCCTTTTTCATTCCGCAACAGTGAGTCTAAAAAAACCGCTCACCAAACCCGGACAGGCGTAAACATGAAGAGAGCCAGGATGACCCTGAAACTAATCTCGCGCCCGATCAGCGAGGAGTTAAGGCGCTTCGGAGATGATTGCTTCAGCCGGACCTTCGCTTAAAACAACAAAGTTCTCCTACCCAATTATATTTATAATTATACTAAAAACACAAAAATACAACAAAAATTATCATTCTTTGATTAGTGATGATTATTCTTAGAACCATGTAATATTAACAGGGGTGGGGGATATCTGAGATAGTGTGAAACAATTTCACTTATTTTAATCTAAGTAAAACTTTCTATTAATTTTTATCGTGTCTTTATTTCTAAAGTCCTACCTATAATTAGAAAGTTTTAAAAGAATATGCCTTCGATGAAATCTGAAAAATAATAAATGGTGGGTTGTTGGTATTAATCCGTGGTACAGGCAACTTTTTATGAAATTATTAACATTCGTCTAAAACTTTGTGAATAGTTTCATCTCATCGTAACCTAAAACATTTTCATTTTATTAACACACGGAATTGGGACGTTTTCAATCTGGAGATCGGCAAACTTTGTCTGTTCAATAAGGTACTAAAAACTCGTAAATACTCATTTGCTTTCCACTTGTATCGTAAGATAATTTCATCATAAAAATTGAAAAAAAAGAAAAGATGGCCTCCGAAAACATTAAGTCGTTTGGCCTATATGAACTATATATGAACAATACTGTTATTCTAAAGGGACCTAGTCCCAGAATAAAGATGATTTTTCTATTCTATAGAACCTAGTTATTTTGACATGTTTTGTGTAAAGGTCATGCCAAACGGCCCAATATTTCTGTAGGACGCCTTTTTTCTTGATTTTGTGATCAAACCATCTTATAATCCAAGTGAAAAACATAAGGTTGTTCATGAGTTTTCAGTACCTATTTTTTTTTTTTTATTCATGATATTTACAACTGTATTAAAAATTAAATACATTAAGTAAATTTGATAACAGAAAATAATAACATGAAATGACTTGTTGAGAAACTACCCGCTGGTAGCACTCTTAAAACAAAATGTATTTACAATAAGAGATCTCGAGGCCATCTTCTTTTCAGACGCCTCGGAGGGTTATCAGGAATAGAAGATGAAGCAAGGTTAGAGACGAGAGGATTCGGATGGCTCTGAAGTTTATTATGGAAGGATTGGTATCTGGATTGGGCCAAATCGGAAACATAAGGAACATTAAGGTCATTATAGATTATTTTATTGGTGACAAAGTAAGGAGCATTGAGGATTTTCCGAAGGATTTTGGATTGTAAGGATTGGATACGAGAGGAATTCGATGGCTTAGTGGAGCCCCAAAGCTCAACTCCGTAAGTCCAAATAGGTCTTATTGTAGTCATGTATATAAGTCTTTTGTAATTAACTGGAAGCTTAGAGCGTTTGTCTAGTAAGTGTTGGAGTAGTCGGAAACGTCGAGCGGTTTCTTGTCGTTTCAGTCTGGTATGAGGATTCCAAGTTAGACGTTTGTCCAAGTGAAGTCCAAGGTATCGGATTTGTTCAACAGGGATAAGTGGGGTATTATTAAAGGATACTGTGGGACATGAGGTCATAGGTTTACGTCCAGTACCTAATTAAATAGAAAAGTTTGCCCCCCTCCACATTGAAAACGCTCCGATTCCGAGAATTTTCGTAAATTGCTAGACTGTTTAACTCCTCTAATTTTTCATTCGGGCATAGTTAGGTTTCTCCTAACTAAAAAATTACAGTAATATCTCTATTGTAATTAGCTAATAAGTAACAGCAAGACTGTTGCGAGACTCTTGCGCAAGACCAAGACCATGATCAAGACTGCGTTTGCAAGACCAAGACTCGTCTCGGTCTCGCATTTGGGCAACACTATCTTATCAATAGGAATTTTCATAGAAATCGAAAAATTCATATTTTTTTAACGAAGTTTTTCCCTAGACTGGATCCTCAAAAAACCCAATCTGGAACCTCAAGATGTCTGCACCGATTCATATAAAAATTATTAGGGATTTAAGATTCTATATCTGTATACAATAGAATAATATACAGTGGCTTACAGTGAATTTGATACATCCCCTAGAAAAATAGAAAAAAAATACTAAATATGTTTACAGTAAACTAATAAAACTAGAAACTGTTCAACAGATATAATCTCAATTGAAATAGGTAAAACTCAATAAAATTAAAATATTCAACTGTGATTTTTTTTTTAATTAGTAAAAAAGAAACTTGATAATTTTACCTGACAGTCAAAATCACACACCTCACTTGTAATTAAATTTTAAATACTATTAATTTATTTATTTTATTAGACACTCAATAAAGTTAGAATCGGTAATAATTTGTCCGAAAAATTTGAGGTTCGTTCGGGCTTAAAACAGGGGGATTCTCTTTCGCCTGTCCTGTTCAATTTGGCATTAGAACATGCCATTAGGGAGGTAATGCGAACCGAGAAAGGGTTGGATCTGGGCGGGACAACATCCGTGCTGGGCTATGTTGATGATCTGGTACTGTTAAGCGAAGACGTTGAAACTATAAAACTAAATACGACAACGTTAATGAAAGCCGGTAAAGAACTAGGACTCGAAATAAACGTGGATAAAACAAAATATATGGTTAGCTGTAAAAATGGCGATACTACTGGTGATATCGATATAGATGGTAATATGTTTGAACAGGTAGATAATTTAGGTATCTAGGTTCTACGATAACTAGAAAAAACGAAATTGAAGAAGAGATTAAGGTTAGACTGAAGGCGGGGAATGCTTGTTATTTTTCTGTGACAAAACTACTTAGTTCGCGCCTCTTGTCCCGACACTTAAAAATTAGAATCTATAAAACAATTATCTTGCCTACAGTTCTTTATGGATGCGAAACTTGGCCGCTTACACTAAGGGATGAGCAGCGTCTTAAGGTTTTTGAAAATAAAGTATTGCGTAGAATATTCGGACCGAAAAAGGATGAGTTAACCGGAGAGTTCAGGCGGTTACACAACGCCGATTGCGTGAGATGTATCCGGGTAATATAATTGAGGTAATTTCATCGCGGCGAATCAAATGGGCTTGTAAAGTTGTTGGGCTTAGTAACGAGAGAATTCCTAAAAGGTTAATATTTGCTGTGCGTCCGAGGGGT